CCTTGGCCCACAGTAGCCCCTGGAGCAGCAGAGTGCTGCTTCAAGCGTCGGATCTCCTCCACGCTGGCGCTGATCTCATAATCCCCACGACACAGCGCTGTGATACCCAGCGTTACCTCGGTGGTTTGATATGGCTCGAGAATGGGGAGGGCGCGCTGTAGCATCCCGGACCACGCGAGGCGCTTGGAGAGATCAAGGGCGACGGCATGCGGCGTATGGCGTAGGCTAGGCTGGAGGCGGAGGAGCGGGTGAATGGGTTTGGAAGACCGGTTTATTATTGTGGCGGAGAGGGTGAGGAAGGTGTTTGTTCTTACGATGAATTTGGAGTGGCCCATTTGGGTGACGCTCTCGTTATCCGTTTCGCTAGTGTTATCGTCACTAGCAATACCTGATGCGTACGGGCGTAGAGAGAAAGCGACGTCGACACTCTCAACCCGGAGCGCGTCGACCATCCGTGCATTCAGACGGATGGCGCGCAGGTCAACTGCGCCTTCACGACCCGTCGTTTCGTCTTTCCACGACCCGCGCAGGCGCTTGAGAAGTTCTTCCCGGAACCAAAAGACTTCCCTCGCGGACGATTCTGCCTCGTAACTGAGCTTATTCGCACTGACGACAAATTGGCGCTTATTGCTCACATTTAAAGATGGGATGGGTTTCTCCGGATTCTCTAGGTAAACGCGGGGAACGACAAGAACAAACCGCGAAGCATGACCCGGCTGGAGTTCGTCGTATACCTCATGGATGCCAATCATATCTTGTCGCGGTCGGTTATCAGTATTTGTCACGTCATCCGAACTCCTTTCGTCTACAAATAGAGAAACGGTTAGAGGGTTTGGCCATGCATTACGCAAATCTAGAAGTAAGACGCAATGGCCGAACCCGCAGGAATCGAGATCGAGGCGGGATAAAGTATGTGAAAATTGCGTTTCCCTGAGTTGCGTGATGGATCGAGGTGTCGACGAGAGCTCCATTGATTTAATAGATTCCTTGTCCCCAGTTGCCGCGCGCGAATCTTCGCCATGCTGCAGCTTATTATTGGCCCATGCGAAATCACCCGTAAGTGGTAGAACATCGCATCTTGTGACATCAACACTGGTATTAACCGTGACAGTCAACGGTAAGGATATCTGTCTGCAGTAGAATGTTTCGGGGAGATCCGACAACGAGGTACAAACGTGCGCATAGTCAATCTTGACCAGGGCATTATCAAGGCCTGGCTTTCCATATACATCAATCGTGAAAGTTGCGGTTTCTCCTGCAGCGATCGAGAGTTGACTCTGGCTGAGATTATCACGCCGCCATGACAAGGCTGGGTTTGTAGAGAGCCGTAACTCTAATTCGTATATATCAGTCGGCAGATTTTCTTTGTTGGTTAGAGCTGATTCGAGCTGGCGGGTTGTAGAGTCCTCAAAGCTGAATGATAAGAAATCCAGCGGGCAGGTCGATATGTTCTGGAGCGTAATATCAAATGATCTAGTCTCCCCTTCCAGCAGCATGATGGCCGATTGTGACAGTGATGTTGACTGGATGATTACTGTTGGCTGCTTTTTGATAACTTTCGCGTGTACAATATCCCGCTCCGGACCTTTTTGAATAGCTCCTGACCGGCTGCCCGAAGCATTTGAGCTCCATGATAAAGGACGTTCTGAAAACGGTTCCTTTGCAGCAAGCCCTGTTCGTTTTATCTTCTGTTCCTTCTGCGGTTTCCAGAAGTTTTTGAATATAGGAAACCTTCTTTCACGGCAAAATTTGACCTTGACTGTACATCCCGTTATTTCCAGCGTGCCTTCAGTGGTTGCAAGGCCGGAAATAAAGTAATCCTGAGTTGTGAATGGCGCAAGCCAGAGTCCATAGGTAGCTGCTGCTTCGAAAGAAACGCCAGTGCCATCTATGCGCAACCTCTCAATTTCCACATCGAACTCGAAAGGGTTTTGTAGCGTGACTTTGAAAGTTGCCTGTTCTTCAGCGATCAGGAGATTCTCCGAGCGTCTCGTTGTAGTCTTCGAGAAAGCACTGTATATAAACGGGTTCTTTTTCTCCAGGCGTTCCTCGACGTTGGCGAAGCCAAAGTCCGTTCTCGATCGTCTGACAGGTTCTTTGAAATCAGAAAGATTGACAAGTTCTACACCGCGCACCAGGAAATCATCCCAATATTCGGCTTCGAGGTGAGAATCGCCAAGCTTCTTGGCTGCTGCAACGGTTCGTTTCACGTTGTTAAACAGCCGCACCTGATCCTGAATGGGCAAGAGAGGGTGACCGCGATAGCTGTCCGGAGGAAGCATAAGAGTGCCTTTGATTGTTTGAAGGAGGTCAACTGTAAATTGCAGAACACCTTGGAAGTCAGGCAGCGCTTCGCAGAAATTAATGCACGCCTTAAGAATTTCGACTTTTAAAGAATGATCCCCGAACCCATGTATTGCCGAATGGCGAAATGCTCTGTCAACTATTGAATCGACAGAGTCGTACTCCGGTACAATATCGCGGGTGGTAGATGAGTTTTGCCTGGAAAGGCCTTGTTGTTTGTCGTCGCACATCATTGTGCCCGGCACACCGTAGGTTGTACCCACCACAGCCAGCAAAATCCTAACGCTCTCATCCATATTTTCGGGGCCGATATCCAAAGCATTTATTTCAAAAGCTGAATGGTTGAGACTTGATAAACCCGCAGCCGGATGAATTCCGACTTCCGCGGCTCCAATCTTTCGCGCCTGGACCAACCCTGGAATTAAAATAGTAAATAGTTGTTGCAATACAAACGCCTTTTTCCGATCTAAACCTAATGATGATAGTACGGATGCCATGCCAACCAAAATCGGAGAGGAATCAGTAACTGGAACATCGGTGCCTAGCGAATGGGGTAAAGCACGGAACAAAAAGCTTGCTATATCTGACTTGCGCAGTGACACGGCACCTCGGGGGCGTTCTGGTGAACGGACAAACTTCAACAAATCATTCATGACAATGTTTCCTAGAGCATTATCGTCAAGAGAGCCATCGCGAATATAAATCGTAGCGAGGATACGCGCGAGCCGTATTACGGTTTCTGAAAATACTAGTTGTGGGACTGGCTCGTCTGTAATATTCGCTGCTCGAGTATAAAGATGCAGGATATTATTTGAGAGATCAGGAAGGAGATTTGCTAGGTTCTGAAGTGAAACGATGCGGCTTTCGGGATTTGATTGCCCGATGTTGTAGAGTTCTGTGAGGCTCATAGATGGTGTTTGAGAAACGGACTTTGAAAATTTATCTGCTGATGGATAACAAATTTGTGGAATCTGAAAAAAAGTGGTTACTGTTAGTTTTTGCGACTTTGTTCCGACAGGAAGATTTCCACGGCAATCTAAAATCATACCCTAAAGTCCATCCCAGCCCATCCAAGCATTAGGAGGCACTGCAATATCGACTCGAGCGCTTTTGCATGCCAGATATAATCGCTGTTTGCTCTCGCTATTGCTGCGCCTTCAGCCAGTTCCTTAAGCGAATCAGGCCATCGACCAGCCTGAAGAAACAAGGTACCCATGACTATATTCAAACGGCCTTTGACTCGGTTCTTGCTTCTCTCACTTGCACCAACAAACCCGAGTCCATGTACCGACATTCTCTCACGGCTGTGTTCCTTCGAACCTGGCTTCGGGGAGGACTTTATCGAAGACGTTACACGATTGGAAAGCTGAATGGATCGGGTGATTTCATCAAAAGTGGTTGGAGAGTCATGCTCAGCTGGTTGAAAATTGGTATCAGAGGCATTGATGAATGTTCCGTTAGCCCCTGGCATCTGCGCGGGCATAGTCATTCTGTGCTGTAACTTGTTAGGGGCTGCTGGACGAACATCAGGTGTTCGTCGCGGGCCCCAAGATGAGGCCTTCGGGGATTCAACAGTTGGCCATTCCTGCATTCTTTCGGCAAGTCCAGATAGTTCTCCAAGTAGTCGCGAAGTTATGTCACACATCACCGTCTTCACCGTCGTTGATCTTGCAGCTTCAGGGCGCGGAACCCATACCACGGTATCAGGCCCCGTAATAAGATTTTCCACGCCGGCATAATCGAATATCAGTAGCTGCTGAACAAGGGATCTGGGATAGCTGTCCTTGAGCGCATTTAACTCCTGCTGGAGCCCCTTGAGACCCTCTACTCTGGGGTATTTGCGAACCTTGGTGCCATTCGATTGAGCTTGTGAGGATGGCTCTGTCCCCGTAGGCTCGTTAGGTAACTCCGCTCCGTCCGCAATAGCTATTATAGCAAGAGGCTCTCTGAATATTTCGAACGGATACAGGTCAAGATGGGAAATCGGAGGGACTGATATTGATAGGTCGTAAACTACCATGCCTGTCGGAAAAGCCATTGGGGAGAATGAATCTGCATATACGGCAGCGATTAGCAATTTGCAAGAATAAGCGCAACGATTCCAAGAATAAAATAACACGTTAAACCACTGCGCATACTTCTATTGGGGCGTCCATCAGGACTAACATCGCCCAAACGCACGACATTTTGAGCTTGAAGGCGCTTGACCAGATTTAAAAACCTGGATCGCTTTATCTTTCCCACCGGTAGCAGTAGAGCTCGTAAGCGCGCCGGTGCGACAGGAGAAAGGGGGTCAACTGCCATGCTGACATCTGGAATAAGGAGCGGAGGAGGCAGTCCGTGATGCGCACAAGACCGCTTTCCGAGATGCACGCAACGAGCGAGACCTAGAAGTCATAGATAGTGCGGAGCAATACTGTAGTTTGCAGAAGATGAGGATAAAACGTGGAGGGCTTTAGGGTCGGTGAATGAATAGTCACAAGGAGCAACGAGATCTCCGAAACAGACGAAGTCCCCTATATCCCCATACCATACCCATATAAATAATAACTATACGCCACGGCTTTCATTTTTCCCCGTTGCGGCTTACAGAGTGCGGGATTGGTGATACTGGCCTGCCGTATTTCAGTCACGTGAGGTAGTTAACTATAGGGGGCTGTACAAACCAACTCCGCAGCTCCGCAACACTCGTATCGGTTTCTTTAACACAGCAACAACAACTTCGCGGGTTGGAGGCTGCTTTGAAATAATAGACTGGTTGGGAGCGGTGCAAGGCGGAGTTCCTTGCTTTGCCACTTTCGTTCGGGATTTTCCTCTCTTACTTGCACCATAAGTCAAACATCCGTCGCCGTCCACAGCAAGGTCATAATAATATGGCCGCCTAGAAACAGCTTGATATCAGAGCCTATATACCCTTACTATCTTCTCACTCAACGCGGAGTGCACCGTTATATTGAACTATTTGGAGCTTGCTAATGCAAGAACTATGCTTGAAGATTTCCTCCAACTCTTTATGATTTAATCCCGCGCTCACTTTCGTCGTCATGTCGGCAATCGATTTTAACGCCTTGAAGGCACGGACTTTGGGCTCTGGGAACGACGAAGAGGCTGTAACTGTCAACACCCGCGCTCTCATAGATAAAGTGTTGGCTCGATACTCTGGAGAATGGTATGCATAACCTCTAGCTTATATGCTTAGCCCTATCTTTTTTCTCTTTTGCGATCTGCTGACAGACTGGTTTCCTACAGGACCGTCCTCCGTGAGCTACTTCAAAACGCAGCTGATGCCTGCGCCTCAAACGTTACTATCAAGTTCGAAACTCTTCCTTCAACGAGCGTCCCGGCCCCGACTGAGCCCGATCCGTCGGCTTCTCTAAAACATGTGATATCTCACCACACGCTCAAACGTTTGATACTCACCAACAATGGAACTCCCTTCTCTCCAAACGACTGGGCTCGGCTTAAGCGGATTGCCGAGGGGAATCCGGATGAAACCAAGATAGGAGCGTTTGGAGTCGGGTTTTACAGTGTCTTTTCGGATTGCGAAGAGCCCTTTGTATCCTCTGGTTCGGAAGCTATTGCATTTTACTGGAAGGAGAATGCCCTGTTCACCCGTCGGCTAAAATTAGGGGAAGCTGATTCAAGCCCGAATACGAACTTCGTTCTGGATTATAGAAATACCACATCGCCGGTCCCCGCTCTTATGCCTTTGTGCCAGTTTCTCGCCAGTGCTCTAACCTTTGTTGGGTTGGAATCTGTCGAGCTTTGGCTTGACGGCTGGAAACTGGCGCATCTAGCTAAGAAAGTTGCACCAAGTGTTAATATAGAGATACCCAGAGATGTTCAGACCAAAACTAATGAGGAGCTTATGACAGTATCCAGCGTGCTACAGGAAGTTGCTCAAATGAATGCGACATGGATGGAAGCAGTGTCGTGGAAAACCCCAAGCAATGCGTCCCGTTTCGACAGCTCCAGACATCATGATCCTACAGCGTCGTTGAAATCCTTCTTTTCCCGCCTGACTGGGTCGTCCTCGACTAACAACTCTACCAATACAGCCAACCCCGATAAAGCAAGCAAAAATGAAGCCAAGGAAAACTTGCTTGCCACGAAAACATCATCGGTATTATTTCACATTAGCACTGGGACTATCAAAACGTCCGTTGTTCCGTCATTTGCTCGCGAACTTGAACGAGCGACAAAGAAACCCCCACCGAAGACGACGACCCTTGCTGTTCTAACGGCATCATATGATTTACGAAAACCCGGACAGAACAACAACCCGAGGGATACAGATATTTTTGCGTCTGTTCTACCCTCAAAGTCTGGGAGAATTTTTATTGGCTTTCCTACACACCAGACTACTGGCTTAAATGCACATATTTCTGCACCATCGGTGATCCCGACTGTTGAGAGAGAGAGTATTGATCTCAATGCCCGATGGGTTCGCACTTGGAACGTAGAACTCTTAAGAGCGGCAGGAATCGTGTGTAGGATTGCCTTCTCTGCCGAAATGTCGTCCCTCAATAGCCGGATCCAGGCTGGAGTAAGCCCTCTTGGCCGATCGAAGATTCGGAAGGACGATATAGCTCTGCTATTACCGGAGGCAGTACATACTTTTAACCAGTTTGTTTTCCGTGAATCGACTCCAACATCGCAGGTTGGCCAGGTAATTGAAGATTCGTTCTGGACCTGCAGCAAAAATGCTATGATTGAGGTATTATCCACCTGTGGAATCCTCCCGTGTCACCAGGTGCGAGTTGCACCCAAGGACCTTAGTTTCATGGACTCTATACCGGTAATACCAGACGAGCTTATGGCAGGCGCAAAGGATTTTGTGAAGCGCTTGACAGATTTCGGTCTTGTCACTGACATCACCGTATCGGATATTATCAAAGAGTTGGAGTCGAGTCCTCTTACCCCAAAGCAACTGGAAGAATTTTTGTTGTGGGTGACCAAGAAAGCTTCCAGCCGCGAAATCGATCTTTCGACAGTTCGGTCTTTACTGCGAGTGGCAGTAGCAAATGACGAACCGCTCGACGCCACTACATCCCGTGTCATTGTCCTTAGCGATGTGAATAGTTTCCTAAATCCGAATAAAATTCCCGTGGAATTACCAATGCCACCGTCGGTCATGCCATTCAAGTACACGAAAAATCTGCCAAAATACCACCTGGAGGCTTTAGGGTGGAATGAATTGCAGGTTTCTACGTGGATTACGTGGCTGGTAGAAAATGCGAAGAATAGGGACTTGCTTCGCTCGGACCAAGATATTACTCAAATAGCCTCATTTGCTGCCCAGGTGCTCCCGGTGTTATCTAGACAATGGGATAGCTTAGGTGTAGCTACACAAGGTACCCTCGTTGGTCTTCTACGAAATATTACGATCATCCCCACAAAATCTGGGATGAAAAGGCCACCTGAAACATATTTCCCGTCTGTAAGGTTATTTGATGATTTACCTGTGGTCACAGGCCTAAACAACGTCAAGGAGAAATTCCTCGGGGCCTTGGGCGTTCGGAAGACAGTTGAACTTAACGTTATTTTCGAACGGCTGTTGAACAATGACGATGTACCCACTGACAGAACCCCAGCCCGCAAGAAGTGGAGTCACGTTGATTTGATCAAGTACCTAACTTCTGTTCGAGACGATATTCCACCAGAAGACATTCAGAAGTTGAAAGAAGCGAGAATATGCACCGCTGTAACCAATGGAAATGCCAACATGGATGGTATACGATATAAAGTTAGCGAGCTTTATGCGCCGGATGAATCAGTAAGGGCTCTTGAGCTACCAATACTCTATTGGCCGGGAAGGTATTCACCAAGCAGTTCCGAGGGACGGTTTCTAACCCTCCTAGGTCTCAAGAGCTTTCCATCAGCTAAGGAGGTGTTACAACTTATGGCCTGGGCAGCCTCGGCTGACAACGCCAAGCTCCGAGATAAGGCGATGACCTATTATATAACGAACCATATTTCCAATGGATATGTCAATTTTGAGGCATCCACGGTTAACATGCCATTCCTTCCAGTTGAAGGGCAAACCAAGCTCAGTACACCGAAACATTGTTTCACCGATGATGGAGCTACCTTATTCGGGTTTGATCTCCTAAAAAGAGAGCTTCACCCTCATGCCTCGAAATTTGGAGTCAGCCAGCATCCGTCACTTAGTGGCTGTATTGACATTCTTGTTGGCAAGCCCCCGTCCTCGAAAAAGGAAGCTAGGATTTTGTTCGAATATTTTGCAAAACGTCTAGGAGAGATCAATTCACCTCGAGCGGAGCGCCTTGGTCAAGCACGCATTGTCCCCGTAACCCGGAAGACGTCAAATTCCAGCAGTTTTTTTCCAAATGAGAAGTCTTCACCAGTTACTTATATTGCACCACGAGATTGCTATCTCGGCGAAAGTGATGACTACGGAGACATCTTTGATTTTGTTGACTTTGGACAGGAAGCCAACTTGTTTCTTCTTGCGTGTGGCTCGAAGCGGGAACCGACCAAGGCTGAAGTTGCGAGCATGTTGGTCAAGGAACCAGCCAGAGTATCCGCAAAGCTTCAAAGCCCTGACAAATATTTGAATCTACTGCGAAGTGTCGCTGAGAGCATTCACTTGTTGAAGAAGAACAGAGATTTGTTCAGGGACATGAAGACAGCACCATTTCTACTCGCGAGCAAAGAATTACCTTCCAAACCGACTGCTTCTCGCAAACCTAACGAACAATTGATAGATGTCGATGATGAAACTTATGAAGACGAGACGCAAGGCATTAAGGAATGGCAACTTGTAAAAGCTCGTGATGCTATTATCGTCGATGACTATGCTAGTTTTAGCTTGTTTAAGCAAAATATCCTTGCGGCCCCGCAAGAGGAGCTGCTGGAAGATATGTATGTAGCCCTTGGCACACCATGCTTGAGTGAGCTTGTGGAGGAGCAACCCCGATGTGGCGCACTGGCACCCGATCAGCGCATTGCAGTAAAATTGCAGAAGCAAATTTACGAGCGGTCTCGTTTATTCCTCCATGACTTGCCTCGTGAGATGATCAAACATGATACCAAGTGGCTGGAGAAAAACCTGTCCGTTCAAGTTGTGCAGTCTATCTCCTTGAGGCGGTCCCTTAAGGGGCGCCATGCTTCACATGTTGAACAACGGAGCGCTGCTGTGATGCAGACCCGAGCCGGCTGGGTATTATCGATAGCGGCTGGTCGAGCAGATTTATACCAAGTGAGTCAGGCACTTGTCCATCTCATTCTCAATAGGCCGAAATTACACTCAACACTCACACTGGAGATGTTGCTCAAAACCGATCTCCTCGAGCTACGTGCTCGAGGGTATAATGTCGAGCGTATACTACGCCAGAAGGCTGCTGAAGCCAGGATGGCGGAGACCAAGCGTCAACAGCAGCTAGAAGCAGAGTTAAAACAAATACAAGAGAGCGAAGTTGCTTGGAGGAAACACCAGCAATCTGAACAGCAACAAGATCAACACAAACAGCAGTCGATGCCTGGAGATTTTCCTAGTTCTTCCCCACCTCATGACCGAAAGTCTAGCCATGACGCAGCATCTTCAGAAGCAACATCATCCCGCCCAAAGAGTGGAAGAGGGCTTTTCTCTGATCTCACTCGTCGCTTTGGATTGGAAGATCTCTCGCGATCAAACAATCCGGTACAATCCGCCCTACAAGGTTTCCGCGATAGGGCACAGCGTCCTACCTCTTCATCCGACGCGCCTCCACCGCCATACAGTACTAACGAAACGGGTTCGACACGACATCCCAATCCTCAAAACGTGACATCACCCCACACACTCCAATCAAACCTGATGTTTGCCATCCAAGCATGTCGACCGCATGGATCGTCCACACTCTACAGCTGTGGCGAGCAAAATAAAGTCATGGAGACCAAATCATATTGCGACGAGCGACCCAGCCATGACCTCTTATTTGCTGCCGACTCCGCCTCCGGAATTCGGATATTCGTGACAAAAACTGTCGACAATTGCTCTACGTTTCTAACCGCAAATTCTGATGGCCTTAATGCTTTCGCGTCAATATTGGTAGATTGCGCTAGCGTGTTTTCGCTCCGGTTAGACAGCGTCAGCATATTTTATGACCCTGCTGGTAGGACCATTGCGTTTAACAGCCGGGGTAGCATTTTCTGCAATTACCTCTATTTCCAGCAGCTGCATCAGTCGCGAATGCTGGACGGTGGGCCGGAGAGTCGCGAGGAGGCGCTGGTGTACTGGTGGGTCATCTTCTGCCATGAGCTGGCTCATAATCTGGTTGCGGACCATAGCTCGGATCATAGTTTTTATACGTATGTTTGGCCCCGTTTCTTTTCTTTCTTCTTTTACTTAGTTTGGTTTTCCCTTTAAAAGGGAGGAGCTCTCTGCTGACTCATTGCTACTCTGGGCACCAGTGAAGGTTTTGTTGCGCAATACTTTGCGAAAGTTACACGGAAAATCGCAGAGTACATGGCAACCCCGACTGTAGCGGCTGCGTCCCCAGGCCTCTCTTCTCCCGCTGCCCCCGCTAAACGATAATTTTCGTTTGTGCTATTTCCTCGCTCACTATCATGCATGATACACATTAGATATTTACAATTAATCGTTGCGACGCAATGCAAACAAGTATGAGCCAAAGCATCTAGATCTGTAGACTCATTTTTTGAGGCGTTGGGCGTTGTGGGATGCAGATGATGAATAACCCCTCTCAGACATGTACAACACTATGTATGTATGTATATCATGAAGCGCACTAGGCCAATGATGATAATTGGATAGAGAATATACTCGTCCCTTCAGCACTTTGGGCAATAGCCCCCGCCATCCTCAAATCCATCCCCTGAATAAAGTATTGGCTTCTCAGGGGTAATTCAATATCACGTGATCAAATATTTTGCCAATCGGAGGCAATTTCTCAGAGAAAGTCTTATTATTAGACCCAAATCTCAGCACCCTGTTCGGACGAAGAGATATGCACATAGTTGGCTGCTTAAATATATATATATAGTCCTGCATTACATTACAGTCTACAACAAAGTGCGACTGCATCTTATCTTATCTTATCCTCTTCCCGCTGTGCCCGGATACTTCCTGCTCAAAGCTTATTCTTAGTCATGACACGGAAAGAGGCGGCCATTTTTTCCCCCTTCTCGCAAAACAAACTAAGTACCTTGAGCATCTCAATTCTCATTTTATTCCCTTTCACACATACCACTCTCTCTCTCTCTCTGCTCAACGAGGAGAATCCCCGGCTGCTGCTTGTGAGACTTGACATATCATTGATAATTTCCTTTTTACCCGATTCTTTGTCTATACTCGGGGTTCCACTCTTTTGCTTCGAGTGGCTATATTCTCCATCTGGCATAGCGATTAGCTAGGTCGGTCAATGTGGGGATAGCTCCTCCAGCGAACCCGGGCATCCCTATTTATTTATATACATATATATTTTTACTTTCTATTATTTTCTGGCTGTTCACTTCTTTTTTCTTTTTCTTTTTCTTTTTTCTTTTTTTTCTTTTTTTGAACAACTAGGCTATTCCAGCCTCACCTCCTGCATCAGAACTGCCTGATAGCTAGCAGTCTTCGTGCAGCCATATCTCCGCCTCTGGACTCAGACAACGAGGGACAACGAGCTCTCTCTAATACTTAGGCGAGGAGAAACCCTGATCCTGTTCATTTTCTGCGGCTCGATTGTCCCGACTACCATCCATTTTGGCTGAAAGGCAAAGGGGTGCTTTACGCGTTACCATCTTTTTGGGGCAGAGTACCCTAGGGAGCACGTCTGATTTCACTATCATTTTACTATTCCTTGTGATTCTAATACCTACTTTCTAATTGCCGCCATGACGCGTAATAAGCCCAAGGTCAAGGGTCCGGGACGTATTTTATATATTGACGCCTATGACTCGTTTAGCCGTAACGTCGTTGATCTGATCGAAAGTACGCTAGATGTTGTGGTCGCCGTTAGGAAGATTGATGATTCCGAATGGCCAGAGGACAGAGAGACGTTTATTAATGGATATGATGCTATTGTCGCCGGTCCCGGGCCGGGGACCCCAACAAATCCAAAGGATGTGGGTATTATGGGTGATATATGGGAGTTGAATGTTCCCGTTTTGGGTATTTGTCTTGGGTTTCAAAGTCTCTGCCTGAACTATGGCGCATCTATCCGCAAGCTCCCCGAACCCCGCCATGGGAAAGTGGTTACATTTGCGCATTCTGGAACGGATATCTTTGATAACTTGCCCGCAAGTCTTGACGTTACGCTGTATCACTCGTTACAGGTGGATTTGGAACATGAACTAGAAGCGTCTGGGGACATCTCTGACCGCCAGCTATGCTGGAGTTCAAGTGCAAAGTGTCCAGATCTGGTACCTCTCGCGTGGTTCCGTGATGGTGCAACACCTGGTGAAGCTAACCTGATGGCTGTTCGCCATCGCGCGAAGCCCTTGTGGGGTGTGCAGTTTCACCCTGAATCCTGCAAATCCGATATAGCCTGTCGTGATATGATCAAGAACTGGTGGACGTCTGCTGTTGAGCACAATTCTAAATTTCGGAATGTTACCAAGGGGCCGTTCAAATTTCGTGATCCCTTAGCTATAGGCGATATCCCTTTCGAGACCAGCGATGAAATTCTCGAGTGGTGCAGTTCGTCAACTAACACATCATCATATCGAACCTTCGATCGCGGTTACTTGACAACGGCAAAAATATGCGAACTTGTCGATGCCCCAGAGGCATCATGTGTCGTTCTAGATTCGAACTCGAAGTACAGCATTATATCCGTTCTTAGCCCTGGCTCATGGTCACTCGAGTACTCCCTTTCCACGCGAACCAGTACCTTCTCCCGTTTATCCGGCTTAAAGTCGAGTAAGGAATACCGCCAAGAACATTACCAAGTTTGGGAACTCTTGCGTCGCATCCTCTCCAAAAAGAAGGTTTTGGACGGATGTAGTTCTCTACCTTTCTGGGGTGGTTTTATGGGCTATTTTTCTTACGAAATGGGCCTTGCTGATCTGGATAACGAGATGACCCCGGAAATGACGAGCAGCGATGGCACTACGGATGTGGGTCTGCTGTGGGTTGAGCGAAGCATTGTGATCGACCAGAAGGCTCAGCAAATTCACGTTCAGTCAATTCGAGAGTTTGACGAGCAGCCTGGTGAATGGATAGATCTTATAACGAAACGGCTTCTTGGATTCGCATATACAAACTCAATGGATAGTATCATGCTCAATCTCGCGGTGACTTCGCATCATAAGGTCGAGGATAGCAACTATCTCCTGCGGATGAAGTATTCTGATGAGCAACTCGCGAACATGATGGTCAAGGGATCCAGAATCATCAAGCCTGACGAATGTGTTTACAAGGCGAAAATTGCAAAATGCCAAGAGTATATTCGTGACGGCGAATCCTATGAGCTTTGCTTGACGGATCAAACAAAGGTGGCTCTCCCCCGATGCCAATACAGGCAAGAGGCGACCCTCCGTCCTTGGATTTTGTATAAGCGACTTCGGAAATATACCCCAGCCACCTACGGCGCGTTCGCGAGAATCGGCAGCGCCGCAATCATCAGCAGCAGTCCTGAGTGCTTCTTGCAGTATGACAGGAATTGTCAAATCGACATGAAACCGATGAAGGGCACCGTCAAGAAAAGTGAGGGTATGACGCTGGAAAAAGCCAAGGAAATTCTAAATACGCCGAAGGAGATGGGCGAGAACTTGATGATTGCAGATCTAGTGCGGCATGACCTATTCAATGTGTGCAACTCTGGTGGCGTGACTGTCCATAAACTGCTTGAAGTGGAAGATCATGGCCGGGTCTATCAGCTCATCACTCATGTCAGGGGTAATCCGCAGACTGTTGCGCCAGCTGCGAAGCTACGAGAAAAAACCACACCGCATGATTATTCCGCTCTTCGTGAATGTCTACCCCCGGGATCCATGACTGGTGCGCCAAAGAAACGATCATGCCAAATTTTACAGAAAATTGAAGGAGAGAAGCGCGGTATCTACTCTGGTGTGATGGGCTACTTTGATGCTGGGGGTCAGGCATGCTTTTCTGTTCTCATCCGCACTGCATATTGCTGGAGCAACACCACGGATAAGGAAGAGGTGTGGCGCATTGGGGCTGGAGGGGCAGTCACAGCGCTGAGTACCCCCGAGGGGGAGTGGGATGAGATGGTCACGAAGCTGGACACGGTCTTGGGGATATTCCGCAGTTCAGCAGAGGGCGATGAGAATGGGGATGCGGATGCGGATGCTTGTGTGAATGGAGATGGAAATGCTGCTGATGCTGGTCAGCAGAAGAAAAGATCTGTGCTGCGGGACATACTCCATGATTATCCCGGATATGGTCCGGATCCCAAGTACGCCCATGGAAGCATACGCCATACAACAATCGAGGATGAGCACGATGATTCTTCGTTGTCTGCAAATGAGAATAAACCCACGTCTCCTAGCCGATAGAACTCGGGGATTTAAGGGGTAGGGTAAAAGATGGATGGTTTCGGAACCTCTCTATTTTACAGTATATTTCAAGGTTCTCGTTTTATTCTCTCGTTTTATACTTTTGGTCAACCGTTGAACATCCCTACCCATTCATCATTCATTAGGTAGACGGCATGGCATTGCATATAATAAATTAGATATTTGGGGTTGGAGGCGTTTCAACACAGCGTGGGTTTCAAGTTTTTTGTTTGCGTGTACTATTATTATTCCTGATAGAATATTTTTAGAAGATTGATCCCGTTTTACAGGTCTACAAGCTATTGTTTTTTGTTTCGGGCTAGCTATTTCTTACTAGCTTACATCCTTGGATTTTGTAGGCTACTGGGGCAAAAGAGCTCAGTCACCACCAGCGCTGCTGGTAGAAGCGCCGATCAACCCGGGACCCTCAACAGATTTTTCAAGGCTTATTGCTGTAAACCGTCCCTTTTCCCACCACGCTCTACACCACCATCGCCATCAATTAAGATAGTTATACGGAAATATATATATATATATATATATATTCTCGCACTGACTACATAATGTTGACTTTGTAATAATTTTGAAAATGCTAGCCGGGGTACCTAGGTACAACCACGGCTATACTACACTGCATGCACGTGACAAAAACTTCCCGAGAGACCTCAAGCAACAAACGAAAAGGACGAATATTCACCGCTTATCACCATTCACGAAAAGACTTTTCTCCTTTTAAACCATCCCAACTATGCTGCTCGGCCCGCTACACCCTCTTTACTTGCTTATATTCTTTCAATCCTTTTTTTTTACATTGCCCGCCCGCTACAAGACACTAATAATGTGGTATTGCTAGTGCATTGGGTCGGACTGTAGCTGCAGCAGGCTTGGGCAGTAGTGATTTCTGTTCGTCAGACGACAACCAAGAGGAGGTTGTCTTGCAGGGTAGAGGATTCTCGTTGGAGGCCTCAAGTTTCTCATGTGTTATTTTGTTTTTCTTATTTTTATATTTCTGTTGAGGCTGTTCTCTTTCAACTCGACTGCCGTCGACTTGACCTTTCTCTTATCACTCACTGGGTTTCAGTTCGCAAACTGTCCTTCGATCGCTAATTAAAGGGGCTTCTGCTTCTACGCAATGGAGATCTTCTGTCGAAATGTTCCCAACCAGGTCCAGGACAGCCATTTGAAGCGACAATTCAAACCAGTACTTGCGTCCTTCGGTATCCACTGCTTCAGCTGCCGCAAGCTCCCCAACTGCAATGCTATCTTGACTATTGCCGATTATAGTAAGGCCTTGAAGCTGCTTTCCACCTATGGACAAACTTCTGGCCAGGGCAGGGTGCGAAGACCTCCTAGGCAACAACTGAAGATGTTTGGGCAGAATATCTTCATACAAGAAGGTCGCAATACCCCGGACGAATATCTACTTCGCACATTAATAAATGAGGAAGAAACCAGGCTTTCGCGAGGGGCAGTCTCCGGCAATGTGCAGGCCTATCACCAGCCAGCGCCTGTCAAACGGCTCAAGAGCTTCTCCATCACTTCTATGTCCTGTGGTATGTGGGATTATCACGAGGGAAATCCGGTGTTTATTGAATGTTATCGCTCTGGGAAGAATGGCAAGATCGCGTTTGGTAAAACTGCTATCCGGGTTGCGCTTGAGACGATGCACGATATTATCTATCATCTTGAATTCACCTACTTCAATATACACGGATCGATCTACACTAGCACGACTAAGGCACCTTCTATAACCATCACGGCTAATACTGCCCCGAGACTATACAAGACTGATCCAACAGATGTGCTAGAAGCCAAATTTGGTGCTATGTTTCCATCCCGACCGAAATGGCAGCGAGGGCCTCCTCCAAAAACTAGAGTTGGCCATTTCGGCGATGAACACGAGTATCTCGCCGGTACTTGCTTTGTCTATCGATTTCTCTTGAGGGATGCAAGCGACCTCAATGCTGTTCGAGACCTTGGCAATGAGCACCATATCCCCCATATTGCTAGATGGCTGGACCATCGCGCACAGTACGACGTGCCGTACTCCACCTTGATGCAGAGGTTGATGGCCTTCTTATCTCAGGAGCGTCTTCCATACCAGGTCAGATTTCAGTTACAAAAACTTGTGTGGAACGGTGACATATCGCCCGCCAAAGCAATTTCGTTTGCATCCCGTGTCCAAGCTGCACTGGTTACTGAAAATCTGGATGTCGTCGTTCAAGCGTTGATGAGGCTGCGGCAGAATATAAAGTGGCCGTCCCCAGACGTGGAACCATCTGAAGTCGACGTGTCTGCGCTAGTAGCAACGTTCAGAAATGCCCTTGAAGCCGCCGTCCGCGAGCACAAGATGGCCAGCACCAATCGCCATACCAACCCCAATCATGTCTCCATCCACCGTGTTCAGGTCACGCCTTGTGGTATTTACTTGGATGGGCCTTACATGGAATCCAAGAATCGAGTTTTGCGCCGCTATGCTAATCATGTCGACCATTTCCTCCGTGTCGAATTTATGGACGAAAGCGGAGACCCTGTCCGATATGACCCGCGCGCATCTATTGACCTGATATTCCAACAACGCTTCAAAGGTGTCTTGAAAAACGGAATCAACATCGCAGGCCGCAAGTTTGAGTTTCTTGGCTTCTCTCATTCGTCACTTCGTTCTCAGACGTGTTGGTTCGTGGCACCTTTTTATGCAGATGGGATTCTGTACAATGCCACGACTATCATTCAGAACCTGGGTCGATTTGATCATATTAACTCTCCAGCGAAACAGGCGGCAAGAATTGGACAGACGTTTTCCGAGACCTTGACCTCCATCCCTATATCCGAGGAAATTATTTCGGTAGTGCAGGACGTGAAGCGGAACGACCGAGTCTTTAGCGATGGAGTTGGTACAATATCGCCCTCCGTGATGTATATGATCTGGAAGGACTACTCGCTACGGACAATGGTGAAGCCTACTGTCTTCCAAATCAGGATTGCGGGTATTTATTTCCCCTTTCAATTCTATATATTTAAAGCCTTGAAGTTTGTTCAGGATGGATATTATTTCTCATTTCTCCTCTAACTTGTTTTTTGAGCAGGCGCCAAAGGGATGGTCTCTCTAGATAGCAGAAACAAAGGGGAATCTCTGGTTCTGAGGCCCTCCATGATTAAATTCCCCGTTACAACCTCCTTCAATGCTTACAACATCGAAATATGTGGATCGGGGATAAGGTCGCTACCGTTCTTCCTCAATGCTCAGTTGATCAAGATTCTGGAAGATCTGGGCGTCGACGGCAATGTCTTCTTGAAGTTACAGCGAGACGAGATTCTGAGACTCCGCGCTACAGCGACTTCGACTACACAGGCGGCGAAATTTTTGGAAGACACAAATATCGCAAAGTCTGTAGGTCTCCCGTGGCTTATCAGCATCCTAGAAGCCCTTGGACTCCGCCACTCCGATGACGAATTCCTGCGTCGAGTTATGGAGCTTGTTGTCCTGATCAAGCTACGAGATCTAAAATATCGCGCTCGAATCCGAGTTCCTAAGGCAGTGACTCTGTTTGGCATTATGGATGAGACCGGATACCTAAAGGAAGGAGAGATTTTCTGCACGAGTTTGTCCGATAAAGGACGCAGGGAGGTGCTTTTGAATCCTAAGGTTGTTGTGACTCGCTCCCCAGCTATGCATCCCGGAGATGTCCAGATCGCAAAAGCCGTCGATGTCCCCGCCGACTCCCCGCTCCGCCAACTCCACAACTGCATCGCTTTCAGCCAGCACGGCGACCGTGACCTTCCCAGCATGCTGAGCGGCGGAGATCTAGATGGTGATCTATACAACGTCATATTCAAAGATACATTAATTCCTAGGGTTATTAGTCCCCCGGCACAGTATCCTCGCGTACAAGAAAAAGTACTTGACCGGCCCGTCGTACGCGACGATATTATAGATTTTTTCGTGACGTTCATGCAGCAAGATCAGTTGGGAAGGATTGCTACGGTTCATCAAACCATTGCAGATCAGAAGGCTCTTGGGACTTTTGATCCACAGTGCTTGTTACTTGCGGAGCTGCATTCTACTGCTGTAGATTTCTCGAAGAGCGGGGTCCCTGTACGTTCTGTGTTAAGCAACTCCTCAACTTGTATTTGAGAAGCTGTTATCGATGTATCTTTTAGATTGTATGCTAACCGCCCATACTTTATACAAAATAATAGGTTGACTTAGCGCGCATCCCCAAATTTCCTCGCTACCGTCCAGATTTCCAGGCCCCCGGACCCCGCGTCCGCATTGCAGAGAGCCTATCTCTGCTCGAAGAACATGACCAGATGACTGTGCTGGACGATGAAGAAGAAGAAGAAGACGAGCGCCCGACTGCAAGGTACTATAAAAGCGAAAAGATACTGGGAAAACTGTACAGGGCTATTGATGAGGTGGAGTTCCTTCAGCATCGGCAGAATGCCATTGAGCGTTCGATGGCGATGGCTGCTCCTAGTGTGCTGAAGGGCGTCTGGGCGTTCGTACAAAGTGAGACGGTAGGGTTTCTGTGGGATCATCACGTTGAGAACGCACTGGAAATTCGGCAGATGTATGTGAGGGAAATCGCTATACCTTCTTTGCCTGTCGCTCTTCGTCCTCCTTTTACTAACATATTGTTGCGTTCTATCTATTTAGTTACGAAGATAACCTCTTAGAAATCATGGCTCGGTACTCCTCCACCCCATGGAAGAGCTCCATCACCGAGTACGAAGTGTTCGTCGGCACTATCCTGGGCCACGGACAGAAAATTACCCATCGACAGAAGGACGCGTCAAAACAGATGAGGGAGGGTACGTTGATTCCCGTGCATAACTTGCACTTTTCTATATTCAAAGACACAATACGCATCCGCGTTCCCTATATTATTATATACACTATCATGCCCCATTCCTTCAACAAAAGCCATAAACCACTAATCCATCATAAACCCAGAATACGAGGGGCTCGTCCAATTCGTCACCGCCATGATCCAAGGTCGCGAAACGGGCGGGATGGAATCGCTCGAACGGTCCATCGCCTGCCTTTACATCGCCATTGAAGAAGAGGGGAAGCATAATAACCAATCCTCACGGGTATCCAAACCCGATGCCTCCGCCACTCGTTACCGTCATAATTTGGAACAGCAATACCAGGGTCGATCAGGAGATGGCTTCGGGACTAACAAGCAGGGTAAAAAGCAGAGGCTGTTTAGTTTCCCGTGGATTGCGGCAATTGTGTGCCTAAAGGAGGTCGATAAGCTGCAGCAAACTATGCCGTTTTAGGGATACGTCCCCGTACAGGAGGAGATCTGGGGGGGGGGGTGTGAGGAGGTTTTTAGAACGCAGGTATGTTCTGGTATGATATAGTTGCTGGTGCGTGTGTGCGGAGGTTTTCTCAGGGAAGGTGCACGAGTGATGTGGCCACGGTTCAGCAGGGTATGGAGTGGGTATTCAGCTTTAATTTCCTATTTCCCTGTTTAATCTTTTCCTCACTTGCGTTCGATGGTCTTCTGACTTGTCTAGGTAGGTAGATATCCTTCATCGAGGTGTTGGCGTCGGCAGTCTAACGGATCTTGTTCTTTTGTTTTGCTTCCTCACATTTGCACTGGTGATGGTTGGGTGGGTGGCATTTGTTTTATCTTTGTTTCCTTCATTTAAATAATGTATTTCACTAATACTTCTTCTTCATCCTCTGCTTTCTCTTGCCCTCCTTCCAGCAGAATATTACGGCAGCCAAGAGTAGACATGAATTACTCTAGTCCTAATGCAGTTAGTATGTTACTATATATGATTTAATCAGTCTATGAGCTTCCACCCCCCACGATCTCTCCAACATTTCTCAGAACCCCGGCTATAGAATCTCCTCAAGCGTATAGAGAGACCCCCCGGTATAGGGTATAGAGCCCCCCAGGTATAGAGCCCCCCGTATAGAGACCCCCAGGTATAGAGATCCCCCGGGGATAGAAACCCCCCCCCCCCCAGGTGTAGAGACCCCATAGAGGCTCCCGGGGTTATGATACATTGAGCTCTCTTTCAATGTGGGTCACTATTTCATACAATCTCCAATGAGATCTCAATTACTAATACAATGAGTATCATCTCATTGCAACACTAGTATAAAAAATTATTGGTTCTTTCAGTGTGATAAATCCTCAGAAACGATAAATTAGAGATTGATGGAAGGTTGCCGTATTTTTTCGTTGCATCTTGTTACCATATTTGATACACTAGTAAGAAACTTGAAGCTCTCTCCGCTATCTCGGGCAGTTTTATTCACATTTACTGATATGCGATGCGCCGAGCGGGAGAATACAGTTCCCCAGCCCAGCCATGTTCTACAACATTTATTAAAATCCTAACCTCCCCGTCCAGCGCCCCGATCCATATCTCTCTAATTCCCGCCCCCCTAGTTCACCATGGCTGCCCAGTCTGCGGTCCCACTGGAGGAAATCACCTGGCGCTCTCCTCTCCATGTGCAGACGATGGGTGGCTTCCTTCATTCAAACAACAGTAGGTATATACATATTATGCATAACTATATCTATATTCCTTTATTGCTATAACCGAGATACTAACCCAATACACCAAACAGTCCTCTTCTACTTCGCCGAATCGCCCTTCTTCGACCAGACGTCAAACAACGCCTCCCTTGCCATCCAAGCGAATTATAATGAGAATTTCCGCCCTTTCATTGAGACACGCGAGGCCTTTGAGGGCCGGTTGAAAACTATGCAGGGTCTGGAGTTCATGGTCGTGCATGACCCACTGCAGGAGGCGGCGGCCGCCGCCGCGGTGGGTGGGAAACAACAGCGAAAGCAGCAGGAGTTGTCCAATATTTGGGTGATTCGGAAACAGATGCGGAAGAAGCGGACGGGGGTGGGATCGGGAGCTGCAGGCGGTGATGATGAGATTCAAGTGCTCGCGACATACTTTGTTGTGGGGGATTCGGTGTTTATGGCACCGTCGGTGTTGAGGGTTGTGGGGAGTCGGATGGTATTGCAGTGCCCCATGGGAGAGTTTTTTTTTGCATAAATAACTGACTACTATCCTGGCAGCTCTCTGCGGTAACGTCTCTAACAAGAGCCCTTTCTGTCGCATCCCCATTGCCCACCTTCTCCCCTTCATACGGCCACACGTACATGCCCCCCGTCCCCAAATCCCTCGAAGCATCACGCCCGGGCGTACAGCAATCCGGCCAACAGAGTGTTGGCGATGCTCCCATGCCCGATGCATCCTCACAATCCAAGGGCGGAAGCGTCCTATCAGCAACCGGAACAACACAACAACCAACAGCCTCGACATCCCCGCTAGCTTCATCATCAACAACAACACAAGACTCCCGCAGCCTCGTTGAAGCGTTCAACCTCCTCTCCCGCTACGGCGATGAATACATGGACGACGCACCCTTACTTGGTGAGCCAGGCTCCTTCATCATCGGAAAGACATCCACAGAGCCGCTGGTAGTGGGGATGCGCCAGCCTATGAGTAGCAAGGTATCCAAGGCTCCCACTCCCGCCCCATCTGCTGGTGCGGGGCCCGGTGCGAGTAAACCGTGGACACCAGCAGCAACAGGAGGAGCAGCAGCGCCGCCTGCTATCAAAACTGATGCGGCTACCCTTGGGGCAGGGAAGGCGGGAAGAGGAGGGGAGAAGAGTCCTACTACTCCCGGGGGAGGGAAGGAGAGGGTTAAGCGGAGGAAGAGTAAGGTATCGTCTGCTACGGTGGCGTCGTTGGCTGCAGGATCGAGTGCGGGTGGCTCTTGATTTATGTGGATAGTATCTTTTTTTCAAAGTTGATTGACGGTTGGCTTCTTTATCTCACGTTTAGATTGAGCGTTTTATATCTGGGTCTATGTAATTGGGGGAATATACCATGAGTTCATGAAATACATACGGAAGAGGCGCAAAAGGTGGGGATCTAAATAATGTGTACAATTCTTTTACATATTTACCAAATTTCGCAGCTATTTCACATTTAACTACAACCATTCTGTTTCATCCTATTCCAATAAAATTGCCACAAATAGTACTTGTATGTATATAGTAGGCCTCTAAACTTCCGTATCACCGCTGCCATAGAACCCTGTGACTGCCCCCAGAGGTCCCGCCTGTCTTCGGAAACTTACCCCTCGTCCTAGACACTTATTCCCCGCGCGGTAACTGTATATAGATGGACACATACCGTCATTGTTGGGTTGTATATCCACCGCCGCCGTGTTTCTTTAACCAACTCGATAATAGAGTTCTACAAGTTTAGCATCCATTGTTCGCTAATTCCCCGCGCTTGAAGTGAGTCAAGCCTTTGTTGTCGTCGCCGTTGCGCCGGGCCATCTATCTGCAATATCGAGTTCATAAAGAGACAAACTCATATAAGTAATCGAGAAAGCCATTTGCAAAAAGTTAGCAGTGAGGTGCAACCTTGCGATTACGCCCTCGATCAAATAAATATATATACCGCGACCCCATACTAAACAAATCTCGCCCAACATGGCTACCACCGCGGCCACCACCACCCATCCTAACGCAGATAAACCCACCGTAATCTGCGTTTTGTAAGTATATTTATTATTACCAATCTCCTCTTCCCCGATATAGAAAATAATATACCATGTACACCAAAAAGCTAACCCGCACTGACCAGCTGTGGCGCCCACAAGGGCACATCCCCCGCCCACCTCGCCTCCGCCCGCGCCCTCGCCCACATCTTCCACAAAGCAAACATCACCCTCGTCTACGGCGGTGGCACAGGGGGCATCATGGGCGAGCTCGCACGTACGCTAGTCTCCCTCTCGGGCCCCAGGGCTGTCCATGGTGTGATCCCCACCGCCCTCGTCAAGATCGAGAATGGATACCGGACATCGCTTACAGCTGCTGAATCGCAGGTGGGCGGGAAGGCGCCGGAGCGGGTAGTAATTATGAGTGAGGATGGTGGTGATGCTGGCAAGGCGGAGGGGGGAGGGCAGCGGCGGGGATCGTTGCTAGGGGAGTCGGAGTATGGCCTTACGACGCTTGTGCCGGATATGCATACGCGCAAACGGATAATGGCGCAGAAGGTTATGGAGGGAGGTCCCGGGAGTGGGTTTGTGGCCCTTGCGGGCGGCTTTGGGACGCTGGAGGAGGCTATGGAGATGGTTACGTGGAATCAGCTTGGGATCCATCATTGCGGGATTGTGTTGTTGAACATTGATGGGTATTGGGACGGGCTTTTGCAGTGGGTGGAGAAGAGCGTGGAGTCTGGATTTGTGAATGAAGCGAATAAGGGCATTTTGGTGGAATGTCGCAGTGTTGAGGAGGTTTTGGGGGCATTGAGGGATTACAGGCTCAGTGAGGGGAGATACACGCTGGATTGGGCATCTAGTTAAGGGGGGTTAAAAGTAAGAGCTAAAGGAAGTAAGGATCAGGCGGGAGTCTTCTTGTCAGTACCCTTGTTTCCTCCGGTTGACTCCTTTTATTAATAGTCATGAAGTTTTTCCGGTGTTGCTTTTGCTGAGTACAGGGTTGACGTGATGCATCAGATATGCACACGACCGGCCTGTGTATATATATACCTAGTTAGAATATGCCTGCTTTCCATAGCCAGAAATTGCAATTATTGTTAGCTTATGATGTGAGTAGTGTTAGGATCGTATCGCGGTGATGGAAAACGTCATCTATTCCGATAAGCAGCGAATCATGGCTAGAAAACATGGAGGTTGCATTTAAAACAGAAAGAAATCAAAAATCAGGATCATCGATCGTCATATAATCATGAGTCTACCTCCATTGACTGCCCCTCCGTCTCTGCCTCTGCCTGTTGCCCTTCAGAACTAGCACTCTCCAAAAACCCAGAAATTTCCAGACCCTCATACAACCTGAAGGCCTCAACTTTCCCTTTCCCCACCCCACTCCCAACTCCGACAACGCCAACTGACGTATTATCAACCGTCAGCTCCTTATCCTGCGACAGACTCTCCTTCAACGCCCTAAGCCCATGCTGAATCAGCTCCTCCCTCCCACAATCCTCAAACTTCTCCAAATGACGCTCCAGGTACGTCCGCGCCATCTGGCTCCGCGCACCAATGGCGCAAGCAACCATCTCTTGCGTCATGCCTGATGGCTGGAATTCGTATAGATGGGGGCCTGCGTCGTCGATGCCGGCCACGAGCAGGCCGACGCCGTAGGGCCGTTTACCGTACAGTTGGGTGTTTGACTGGGCGCGGTCGCCGAGTTTGGTGACGATGTGTTCGAGCGGGATGGGTCTGCCGTAGGTCATTTTCGAGGCGAGGGATTGCTGTTTCATGAAGTTTGACAGGACGCGGGCGTCGGAGGCGAGGCCCGCGATGGCGATGCCTAGGTGCTGGTCTATAGGGATTACCTTCTTTTGGTAGGAGGATAATTCTTCGGCGTTGCGCTGTATATATCAATATATTAATATTTAGTATTGAACGGTGGGCGGAGGGTTGGTCTGGCATGGCCTCGCACCTTAAGAGCCACCAGGACGGCATGTGTCTTGCTGACGATTCCGACGACTACTGACCCCTGTTTCACGGCTTCTTGGGCATATTCGACTTGGAAGATGCGACCCTGCGGCGAGCTGTAAGGGGGATTGCCTGGTCAGTGGAATTGGGTCTATCTAATGGAGAGAGCATCTGGTTGTCCGTGTTGCTTACAAGGTCACCGAATCGTTGTCGTAGTTGTTTCTGAACATAGCGAATAGGCACTGGTAGCTGCGGGACGGGTATCTGAGAGAAAAACAGCTATACCAGAGATATTCCTGTTGTAATTAGATGCTGCAGCGTCACTTAGGTTGTATAATAGTATGTCTGGAGTTTGATAT